CGGTTCTACAGGAATGTAGCAAATTTATGTTGTAATGATAATCAAACAAAACTCTTGACTTTAAATAAGTAAACAGATATAAACAGTTACCTATTTAAGCATCAAGGTGGGAAAATATAAACGTAGGACAACATCGGTTAACAACATCTATGCTACATTGAGATTCGATCTCGGGTCTGTTGAAGCTCCTCGAAGCTCGTGTCGTTGCGTTGATCACTGAGCTATCGTCTGTACGCTGTTAAAGTTGTAAAGCCTCGTTCATGTAGCCTAAATGTTTTTATTGCAATGTTTTATGTTGAAATGTTTTCATTATTTATTCAATTACATTTCAGTAGCCTAATTTCAGTATTGTGATTATGAATTATTTTAACTACGTTTCACTTGTTGAATTCTTCTGCTACCAGCTTTCAATCGCTCTGAATCAGCGCGGTGCGGCAGCAGATTACGCATTAGAGAGAATAAACCGGAATAAACGAACACTTTTCAGAGTCTATGATTGTAGCGCCTCTTAGCGGTAAAAGGCAGCAAATACACCACACATTTTACCGCCGCGGTGGAACAGCTGATGTGGGCGTTGTCATGGCTTGCCTCGACATTTGCGTTTGAATAGCGCGCGTCGTCCGTGGGCGTGTCAGATTAACGCGTAATGAAGTGTAATGAGCTGGGGGAAAAAATACTGACAGCACTCTCTTTTCATACAGATTGCATAAACTGAGAATATTTGTTTTTTATATAAATTACTTCATTTAAAAGAAGAGAATTCAAGCTTCATAAAGAAAAACCTCTCGTGCCTGTGTGACAAGTAATCGCGGAGTTACAGTTAATCTTAGGACGCGTTTCAGAATGGACTTCACTGACAGAGAGAACGCAAAACTCGCATCATGTTTGTTTTTCTTTATTTGGTGAAAAGCACAACACTTTGTTTTTATTGTGAGTATCCACAAAAAAAATAGAAACTTAACAGGATCTAATGATGTACAACACTTATATGTAAGATCAAAATTAACAGAGTAATTTGAGTCTCTTTTGCACTGATAAGGAAAAAAGTGAGCTGGTATCGCCGGCGAGACCGCCGACCCCAGAGAGTTAAACCCTAGAAAATAATTATGTACAAGGAGGCTACTTGACTGATAATTTAAGTAAAATGTTTTATTTAATTCATTTAATACATACGCAACAGCATTGTAGCGCGCACGTGTGTGTAGGTCAGTGTAATTTTGGCAGCCATTTTTTATTTAGTCTTAAGACGAAAATGTTTATTGGTCTTAATCACATTTGAGTCATCCAGTTTTTTATAGTTGTAGTTGACGAAAAGTCTTTGCATTTTTTGTCCACTTTTTAGTCAAACTGCAGTTACTTTACTTTTGGTAGTTATTTTATATGTAGTCTTTAGACAGAAAATGTCATAATAATTATTCTCTCTAGGCCAATTCAATAAGGCTTATGAGAAATTATTGACATTGCACGACTTTAGCAGTAGCACTTGTGCAGTTCTACATAATTATCCCTTTTTTACCTTTGTAATACCTTAAAAAAAGACAGAAATAATGCTTTAAATAAAACAATGTTCATTAAATTTGCAATGTTAAAAAACATTAAAATCGCCAGTAGGTGGCGGTAACTCCCTATCTTTATGAGTGAGTCTGAGTCATTCATTAATTGGATCTCACGATTCGTTCAAAGCCACATATTTCGTTGCAAAATAGAGCAATAAGCCTGACAATGCTGTTTTAAATGTAGTACATCACTTAATGTTACCCTTTTTTCTTTTCTTATTTACTGTTGTATAAAATCAATGTCACATTTGAAATCGTGTGGATATTCGGGAAACATGGCGTTCTTGCTCGTATGAACACTGGTGGATATATCAGCCTGCATTTTGATCGCAGATTTAGTCGCACAAACAGCGCAAGCGGCTCGTGACAGAACACAGACCGACTGGATGACACTTTAATTCAAGTACAACATTTTAAATAAAGATCGCTGAATGCCAACTGTTGCCAACCAGCTTGTCTGTGTTTTCAGATAATCCGCGCTTCAGCAGTGTAGAGAGAGAGCGCGCGCATGGTTGCCAGATACTATTGAAAAGACCGGGTAGAAAATATGTTCTTTTAACAGAGAAGCTCGTATTTGGGGTTTAAATTCTGTCATTTTTGGCCACAGCGGATTCAACTAGGCTAGGTACTATCTTGTTCTGTACCTCACTTGCCTAGTAACCATAGTAACGGGTGCGCACGCGATCGCTTTTTCTGCTATGACGTGGAGCGCGAGGTGCACTCAACCAAAATTGTCTCTGACTCAACGTTGCATACAGTTTGAATTAGCCTACATTAGTAACAGTTAATTTAGTTACGGTATGAACTTAATCCTAGCAAAGGCAAAAACATAAATAAGACCTTTGTAACGAAATCCAAGACTTGGTATACAAAATTCAAGGCTTTTAAGGCCTTAATTTGAGATGATCAAATTCAAGACTTTTTCAAAGCTTTTAAGACCCGCGGGTACCCTGTCGCAAAAACTGCGGTTTGATGAAAAAGAGAAAATAAAGTGCTTCCCCCAACACCCTGTTCTCACTAGGCTACTACCTTAATGTAAAGAGTCCTTTCTTATTACTTCCTATGATAAGCAAGCATACATCACAAAACAAGATGAGAAATTAAATATTCGCAGCACTTTCTATTTCAGACTGTAACGAGTGGAAATAAGGTGTGGCCCCTTTAAGAGCTGCGCAGTAACGAGTGGAAATAAGGTGTGGCCCCTTTAAGAGCTGCGCAGTAACGTTATTATATTGTATGTGCGCCTCAAACACCCCATGTGTGCGGGTCATTTCTGTTTGATGCTACTACATTTATCTTATTTTGTTTATTAAGTAACGATGTGGACGGTAGAGCGTGTGACAGACAGTTATACGAGTTCGATTTGGGAATAAAGTGCGAGTTGTGAGATGCCAATCGCCTCCGTGAGTCTGTCTGGCCTCTGCAATAACTCCAGCTGTGAGCTATCCCTATTTTTCTTCCCGACACAACGCGTTACAAGACCTTAATAAACTTACAAAACATTGATGAGTCAAACAAGTTCTGTAGCTTTACTAGAGGAATATGCTACAACTTCTGTAAAAATGAATAAATGAAATATAAAAAATAAAGTGTGCTCCTGTTTTACAGCTTTTCGATGATGTTCGCGTCGCGTGATTACGTCACTTCATAACGTTCCCATGGCAACGGGGGGAAGTGGCTGCTCTTGTGTGAAGCAAACGCAACATTTTTCAACTTTCTGCTCAGATATATGTGACTTTTTTGCAACGAAAATGCGAGGATTATGAAATCATGCAAGCCCCGCATATTTTGCACGGAAATCGGAAATTTATGCGGCGAAAGTGCGGAGTATTTGGAAAAAATGCCCCCCCGCGTGAATATCCAGACTTTGGCCCTGTCCCAAATGGCACACTCCGGACTTGTGGAGTCCACACTTCGGTGACGTCATGTAGTGCAGACCTATAGGGCCCTTAGTGCGAGTCCGCGAGGGCGCATTGAGAGGTATTTTTGAGACAGACTCGATCGTCACGCCGGAAACAGGAAGACTATCTGATGGTTGTTATGGACAGGAGCTGCAGGTTCGGTGAAATATGCGGCCTATTGTTGTTGTGTTTACATATGACTCAGTAAAGCCCTGACATTCTGTTCTATTTATTTAATGAATCATATTGCGATCGTATTGTTCAGCTCGCTATTATTAGCCTATGTTTGAGACATAAACCACTTTTCGATGATCGTAATGTTTGTATAAACTTGTCATAAAAAACATAATTTTTTTTTTTTTTGCTATTTATTTATTTATGAAGGGACCATGCACAATTTTTAACATAAAATTTCCATTTCATGTATTGTACCGGATTAAGCCAAAGGCTATTTTTCATCCGTAGTCCCCCAGACAGGACAAAGCTAACAAAACATTACACAGACAATACCTATGTTCACATACAATAAATACATACATACACGCTGTCAAGGCAAATGTAATTTGATAAAGGAAATTATTAAATAATGATAATTACACTTAAATATTTTCTTCTCAGCCATGTTAATTGTCCGTGAGCGAAATCTCCTCCCATCCGTTGTCTGATTGGCCTTTCGCAAGGATTCCTGGGTAGTTAAAGTGCGTGGAGCCTGCATCTATGCGGGCTTCGCGGAAGAACGCTTCAAGGGTACAAAGGGGGCGCTGCTGAGCACACTTCAGAGCGCTAAAATGCTAAATGGGACGGCCTACGGACTCTTTTTCTGGAGGGACTGCCTGAAAAGTGAAGCCAAAGCGTCTCGATCGCCCCCCGGTGGCCGGTCCTAGTATAGCTCATAAACCCCGCCTCCCCATGTTATTTAACGGCACGTGAGACCAACTAAACAATTAAATTACACTTCAAATATATCGTTTTTCCAAATATGGTTTCTGTCATTTACTGTAGTTTTTATCACGCTGATGTAATTTCAAGTGTTTGTTTTTAAAATAAGTTTGTTTTTAGTTAGTTATTTGATGCGGTGGTGGTGACGTCATGATTGACAGCTGTGATTGACAGGTTCTCTGAGCGAAGTAGTCACTGAAGCACCAACAGACTTTTTTCCGGGATCTTCGGATGACTGAGGAGATTGGAGCTTTAAATTTAATATCTAAATTTCTATAATTAATAAATAAAAAGTGCAGGAGCGTGTGCTTGCGATTGATTCAGCGAGAGTGGGGGCGGGGCCTTGATTTCGCGGCTCACGACTGCGCAGGTCTGGTCCCGAGATCGCTTCTGCGCAGACTCAAGTTTCAAGATGTCAGCGCCATATCGGGACACTGGCGGCTTCAGTTCTGACCAATGGAAGAGAGCGAAGGGGCGTCGTCCATCTTTTTTTACAGTCTATGATTTGTACCGACACGAGGGAATGTAAATAATGGCACTTTAGATTTGTAGCTAAGCAGCGGAGCAGATTTATGTGAACGCCTGTGTGTGACTGAGCTCTCACCTGCGCCGCTGCGGACTGTGTTCATGGACGCCACGCTCCTCCACTCGTCTTTCTCGGGGTTGTAGCATTCGGTCGAGCTCAGCCGGTGAGTCCCGTCGAAGCCGCCCACCGCGTACAGCAGACGGTTGATCACGGCTACGCCTACACCGATGCGCCGCGTTAGCATGGGCGCTACCAGCTGCCAGCAGTCTCGCTCGGGGTCGTACCTGGAACACACCACAGCAGCAAACACGCATTCATACGGAGGAGTGTTCTGTAAAACATACATTTCATGATTTTAATCGATTCTCATTTCGATTGACCCAAGAATCAATAAACATGCATTCATATATCGAAATATCAAATGCATATATCGCGATATGCATATCGCAACGGCTTGCGATAACTAAGTCATGAACAAAAGACAGAGAAAATCACTCGCTGCTCTCGGCAGAATAACTTTAGTAGCTTTAATAAGAATCAGTATTTAATTCATACAGTGAAAACTAGGGATGCTCATTTCGGTTAATTTTCCCGACCAGTTTCTGTTGTTAAATAACCCTAATGTATGATAACCTGAACCCCTGAACCCTGAAAGTTAATAACACTTCTTACGCTACTGTAAAACACTGCTGCAAAAAGAATGTGAAACACGTATGTAGGTTATATAATTTTAAAGATAATTTAAGTTTATTTTAAGCATTATCGTATCGCATATCAAATATCACATTATTTAATGAGTTTTCGCATATCGCACTTTTCTTCAATATCGTGCAGCCCTGATTCATACTCACTAGCGATGGGTTCAAATACACATTTCTTGATTTTAATCGATTCTCATTTCGATTGACCCAAGAATCAATCTTTAAGTCTTTGCTGTTTTCAGTTGATTGATTGCATGAACTAAACTTTGTTGTGCTTTGTTACTTTTGATATGAAACAGTCTCAGCCTTCAAATTCGGTCCATTTTATTATGAATTTCGAACAATAAATGTGGATCTGTGTGGTGACAGATCGCCTCTTCCTCTTCACTGCCAGTCACAGCAGCAAATAAACATCAGAAGCAGATACAGAACAATTTACTGAAATGAATCACGTCTCATGTAATCGCTCAATCAGCGTTTCATCCACGGAAAGACGTCAATAAAACAGCTTGAGAACAATAACATCACATTTACCACGGAAAAGTCATTCAATGACTATAAACTCGTTAGTCAGGAAGAAAAATCAACTCTAGAAAGAAGCATTTTGATAAATACATGCAGTATATATTAGATATTCATTATATTTTTACTTAACCAGTTCTTTAATATTTAACGTTTGAATAAATCCATCATGAAAACAAGTTATGACAGCCACCATTTAAATGTTTATATTTAAAAAAAACTAATAAATATTTTAATGTTACTATTATGAAAACTTAATAATTAATAGTAATTTAAATGTTTGTATACAAATTAGTTAATTTTAACCTGTAATATTTTACCAATGTACCAACTGACAGGGTTCCCTGTAGAGTTTACAGCAGGGGTCTCAAACTCAAATTAACTGGGGGCCGCTGGAGGTAGAGTCTGGGTCAGGTTGGGCCGCATAAAGTATTCCACAAAAAAATAGTATTCAAGTATTCCAAAAAAGGAGCACAACTGATCCAATCTTCTCAATATTTATTATTAACGTTTCTTCTGAACTGTTCCTCTGAATTTGAACATTCCTTTCTGTACACGATTGGTTCTTCATGAGCTGTCCTTCTGACAGTTGAAGTTCATTTTACAAACTTTCTTTGTCTATAACACATATTTGTGATATTTATATTTGCTTATGTCCTTTTTATTTTCTTTATACAACACATTAATGATATTGAATGTTTTTTGTTTTTTTGGAAGGCACATTTCCTTTTATTATACTTAGAAAAACAATTATTGCTTTTGAAATACAAATATTTGCAGTCATGTCTGCCCGTCTTATTGAGTTCTTTCTACACATGTATAGTGTCTCAAATTACTGAGTGCACAAATCAAAGCAAACCTTCTTATCAACCTGTTAGACACATATTACAAGCTCAAAATGATTATTCTCACATTGTTTTAGAGCAGGGTCTCTCTCCAACACGTCGCTCGCGAGCTACCAGTAGCTCGTGGCCTGATTGGTGGCAGCTCGACAAGGGGCCGTTCACATATCGCGCTCACATATTTTGCGCGCTCAAGTTCGTTATTTCAAATGTAGGCGCGCGGCAAGCGCGCTCATAATTGAAGGGACGCGCTCATTTTTTCCAGGCGCAGTATGTTTGTACTTCGCGGTTGTCTATGACAACTATTGACAACAAACCCACCGTAAGCTGTCACGAGACTATCTATGGTAGACCATAAGGGATAAAAAAATATATATATATTTTTTTAAACGCGGCACACGCAACGACGGGCCGCACTAACATTAAACTTTAATGTCAAGTAGGGGGCCACAAAATATCACCCTGCGGGCCGCAAATGGCCCGCGGGCCGCGAGTTTGAGACCACTGGTTTACAGCATTAGTTGAGAGAGAGATTTTTTATTTTGTACTGTACCTGATACTGTACCTGCATGTCACTAGAGCTCATAAAAGCGAGTATTTATTATTATTAGAGCTTTTGGTTATTAATGGCGGTGGATCAGGAAGTCAGATCACATCTCAAGGAAGTAAAACTCAACAGACCTGTCACTAATTAACCTGGAACAGACAGACCGAAGTATCTTTCATAACTCCAGTGACTCACTTCAAAGTTCAGTGTTTAAATGTCGATTAATAGTTAGTTCCACTTCCTTTAACTCACGGAGTAATGTTTGTCACCTGTTATTCATCACTAATCTCCATAAACATCACAGAGGAAGTGCAGGCCATTGTTATGTGGATGCAGAAGCTGACGTGAACCACTAGTATCGCCATCAATGACAGACTGATTAATTACACCAGCTCTCGGCGCGGTGAACACAGCAGGAGTGGGGACTCACTTAGGCTTCCACTATAAAAAAAATTTAATAAAAAACTTAAAGGTGCTCTATGTAACTTTTCTACTAAAATGAATCCTTTTTTTATTGCCTGTGTGTGAAGGGGTTGTAATCACACATTAAAATGATCCACTTGTCGGGTTTTGCTATTACCTCTGAAGGCCAGTATTCCTATTTCTATGTGAAGTCTCCGGGTCGGATTTACCGCGAGTTATAGCCGTTCGAAATCGGGGGTCCCAGCGAACGGCGATCCGGTAGGGGGCATCCCCGAGGAGCGTTCGGGCAAGGGTTCCCCTGGGACCTCCTCCCCCGAATTTGAGCTCTCTGGGTCTTTGCGTTCCAGAGATACGAGTGATTTTCTTCTGAGATCGTGACGTCACCGGCGTCCGCAATTTTGCAGCGCGCCCGATGGTTTTCTGCTAATATCTCCGTGAAAAAACCACCAAAAACTATGGAACTTATATGGTTCTTTTCAGCTCGACTAGATGGTCCCAACGAGCTCGGTGCTCGCCGAATCCGTCTAGTATTCGCCGAGATATTTGCGTAATAGACGGTATTGTCTATGAGTTCGAGCACGAGCGCTCTTGTAAAATTTGGTTGCAATCTGAAACATCACCACTAGAGGCCGCTAAAAGTTACATAGAGCACCTTTAAAGGGATAGTTCACCCCAAAATGTAAACTCTGTCAGTAATTACTCTCCCTCATGTTGTTCAACCCCGTAAGACGTTCGTTCATCTTCGGAACACAAATGAAGATATTTTTGATTAAATCTGAGAGCTGGATCACTCCTCCATAGGCTTCTTAAGGGATCGAAACTGGCCGGCCCAGAAAGTTATTAAAGACATCGTTAAAATAGTCCGAGTGACTACAGCGGCTCAACCTTAAGTTTATCAAGCGAAGAGAATACTTTTTGTGCGCAAAAAACAAACAAAAATAACGACTTTATTCAACTATTCATTTCCTTCTCTGTGGGCCTTGATATTTCACGTAGTGTAACAGCGCAGCGCTCCTGGGTTGTACGTCACACGCAGGCTCACTATTGGCCGACGCTGGTCATGTGTGTGATGCAGTTTGTTCCTGTTAGCTTATCCAGTATACAGTGCTGCGTTGTTTATTAGAAAAATGGTGGGAAAAGGCTCCCTGCTGACGAAAACACTCTCAGTTGGTGGACATACTTGACCAAACCTGCACATCGGTTGCTGAGCGTGTGTGTGTGTGAGTGTGTATATATGTTCAGCTGAAAACAGTCAGATCAAGATCAAGCTGAGCGTCTGGTGTTTTGGACGAACATTATGTAGATGTAGTGAGTAGAAGTGGATAGTTTCTGAATGGCAGTTTGCTATTGTGTGTTCATGTAGTAACGCTACATTACGCTGTGTGTGAAGTGTGTTTTCTCAGGTTACTGATGCACTTTATGCACTATTGTAACCTTATATTCCTTGCATGCACATTAAGAAAATAATATTTTATTTAAAGGTACAATATGCAGGATTTTTGCATCCAAAAAACCACTAGGCCAATGTTATACATTTTGTTTAGTTGATTACTTACAATATCCCAAATGTTTCCAACTATTTGTAAATTGAGAAAATTGGGATTTTAACCAAGGAAACGGGGCGTGTGAGCAGGGGTGAGGAGTCGCCAGTCAATGACGTCATATCCGTGTTAGCCTCGGTTTCCGCCAGGTTTGACCTCGCACTGCGATAGTAACCATGGCGACAGACGTTGGCAACTGGGTTATGCCCGTTAATGCCTAGAAGGACGCTCATGCTGTTGTTGTTTTGTTCAAACATTATGGACCATGGCAAGCAGACTTTGAGACAAAAAGAGGACTAAAACGAAGATCAACATCTTTCGAGATGCCGAGAGCTCCACGTCCGCGGCTAACTTCGACTCGACAGAGACGCGAGTGTTGCATGTACTTTATTAGACAGGTGAGCAAATGTACATAAAACTAATCAATGTTATGTAGTTCAACATGATGAAAAGTTAGAATATGATCTGTATGTTATTCTCTAATGTTAATCTAGCTTAGTCTCATACAGCCAACACACAACCTAACTAACAACATTCAACACACTCAAATGCCATTTAGTGTAACTGTTAGAGCAAGTGAAACAGCGCTGCGTTACCTCAATTTTCATTCGTCTATTAAACTGACCTGTGAGTAACTTATCAATCCAGCACTTGCGTGTAGTTCGGTAGAAAGAAATGTCCTTATTCCTTTATATCCGCGGGACTCGCGTTGCGCTGGAATACGTCTAGCAATCGCGCCCTGCTTCATACCACAGTCATGATTAAAAACATCAATGTATTCACTCATCCATAAAAGATCCATCAGCTTGACGACAAGATCCATAATTCTGCTTAATGTGGAATATACGTCATTAATATACGCCTTTGTTATTGTAAGAGGTTAGCGACCCCTGGTGGCGAAAAATCCTGCATATTGTACCTTTAAGAACAATTGTTTTAAAAGTTAATGCACTTTAAAAAAGTGAATTTCATTTCAATAAAAGATGCAATGCTTAATTTGGTTGATATTTGCTTGTTGCGCTCGCTTGCGCCCTCTTGTGGGCAGAGGAGACAATACAGTACTTTTTCCCCTATTGCCTTCAAAATTCGAATATTATTCGAATTTTGCTAATATTTAAGAAATAAACTCGAATTTAGCTTCTCAGACATTTTGACAGCCCTTGGATATTTTGATATTTCTTGGAGTATCGCAATAATATCGTATCGTGAGTTCAGTTTGGTGATATGTATTGAATCGTGCCATGAGGGTCTCGTTACACCCCTAGTAAAAATATTGCAAAGAGATGTTGGTTTAGTGTGGAAGAGATAAAAGATTAAACACATTATAAGATCTCACCTCTCGACGCTGTTGTGATGTAGGCATCCGTGCGAGCCGCCCACCGCGTAGATCATCCCGTCGATCACGCCGACACCGATGCGGTTGCGCGGGACGCTCATGGGCGCACACGGCAGCCAGCAGTTATTCATCGGGTTGTAGCAGTCCAGCGTGTTTGAGTCCATGTTTCCATCAGGAGCGTTATTCCTCCCGCCCACCGCGTACAGCAGACCGCTAATAACACACGCCGCTAGCCCACTGCGCGGCGTCTGCAGGTCCGCTAGCCGTAGCCACGCGCCCGTACAGGTGTTGAACGCCTCCAGGTAGCTGAGCGACTGCCGGAAGTATCCGCCCGCCGTGTAGATGAGCTGCGGGACTTTGGGTGTCCGACAGGGAATGAGTTTGGTGGGTTTGTGCAGCGTGAGATCCTGGAAGATCTGGGACAGGTAGTCTTTGCTCTGCGCGTCCCACTCGAAGTGCTCGAGCTGCCGGCGTAGGAAGTTCGGCGTGAGCGAGTGGCAGCGGACGGCCTGGAGAAGCGCCTGAACGTACGGACGCCGGTTCTCGCGGTCGTACTGAACCCACTCCACGCACGCGTGAAACACCTCGGACTCGCAGCGCACGTTCAGCTCGTCGCGGCTGATTAGCGTCACTAGCTGACAGTGAGTGAGGTTGAAGAACTCCTCCTGCGTCGCCACCTGAGAGAGAGAGAGACACATTTAATCTCATCGGATCAGTATCAAAACATTTACTGCCTGTAAAGCACATTCACACCAAGGAGGATAACTATAATGATAGAGATATAGTTTTAAAGCAACACCAAGCAACTTTTCCTCTGCGGTCGCCCTACAGGTTGGAAGCGGAATTGTCCATTACCGCTGTCGTAAATAATTTAGCCTAGCGCAGCCGACTGTCGCACGCGCGGTCGCTGTTTATCCAGCAGCGGCTTTGAAATCAACAATGGCCACAGACAAGGTAGAGTATGAAACATGATTTTATGAAAGTGTAGTTGCAGTCTACTGTCGAGTACGCTCCACCTATCGGCAATTGTAACGCTTGCCGTAAAGCAAGTCAAATTTGTAGTTTTCTTATGTCTCATTCGCACTACAGAAACGCGACCCGATCTGGCAATCTTACATAGCGTGGATATATCAGATAAAGGACCGCAAAGCGGTGGCATAAGTGCATTTCACCATGTCACGACTTGATGAACCACTGAAACGATTTTGAAAACATTATTTTAAGGTAAAAATTCTTACTTAGTGTTGCTTTAAAAAAAAAACGAGAAAGAAACGAGTCATTGGAATCAGTTTCAGAATGATTTTTTTTTTAGTGCTGGGCAACATTTAAGCGCGATTAATCGCATCCAAAATAAAAATATTTAAGAAATATTTGCATGTATATACTGTAGGAATTTATACATCATTTATATTATATATTTATAACACATTTTTCTTAAATATATACATGCATATGTGTGCATTTATACAGTAGTCAACATTTGAAGTGGATCAAAACCTTTCATCAAAGTTATACATGAATTTTGAACAATACCCGTTCTTGTCTTAGGACAACTTTGATGAACTTTTTTGATCCACTTCAAATTAGTGATCGACCGATATATCGGCCAGCCGATATATCGGGCCGATATTTGCGGTTTTTACGTGTATCGGAATCGGCCGATACGCGGCTGCTGCGTTCGCCGATAGTTTTTTCCCGGCATTATTTATAGACAGGCGTCCACAGGCAACTCTGTGCTGCTGGAGACGCTGCAGTTCACGTGCAGACCCTGCACTGCCCCTCCCCCACTAGCAGAGTGCAACCTGCGCTTCAAGATAACGGTAACTTTTAAACTTTCAAAGCATCTTTTAACTGTTTGACTGCTGAAATATTGTCAAACACTTTGAAAATGGAAACACGTTGCTCTATAACTGTTATGTGGTTGCAACTATATAGCTAAGCAAGTTTGTGGGTCCTAATGGAAAATGCGAATGACTCGTCTATAAAACTGCTTGCTTGCCATTGTATTTAGGGAGCTGCAAATAGCTGTAGACTATCCGTTCAGTATGCATTAGGGCTGTCAATGAATATTCTAAATACGAATATATATTCGAATAGTTTAGAAAAACTGAATTTTGAAGGTGAAAATTAATATTCGAATGTGGAAAAACACGCCCGCGGTAGCAGACTAACGTTACCACAGCACAGCTCGCTCAGAGCGCTCAGTGTCGGTTCTATGTTCTGTGAAACTTCAATTAATGTATTTGTTTCAATCACTGAATGAAGCCTGCTATATACCTTAAATTGCTTGCACAAAACTCTTGATCAGCACTCAACATTTGTTTGTTGTTGTTCATTTAAACCGGCATGCGCATGAGAGGGTGAGTGCGAGAGAGAGAGAGAGTGCGCCTGCGAGTCCGGGCGAGCCAGAGTGAGCTCTGCGGTCTTGGCCATTAGTTGATTTACTCGGGTTTTTTTTGTAGTAATACGTTGTCAAATATGTTTAAACTCAAATAAGCTACTTAACACTAGTAGTTATGTCTCTTTGTATTAATTTGTCCTGTTATTGACGTAATGCGCGTCATTGACCAAATGCACGACGATATGTTCAAATATGTTTTTTAGAGGGAATATACAAACGCCATTTGAGCAATTTTGACAGCCCTAGTATGCGTACGGTAGCTGTTACGAACATTGGTCATAGGATTAAGTAATACCAACGTTGTTCCGTGCTTTTTGTGGGAGATTTATTCAGCGACCACCTGGCTGAGGTTTGGACGCGTGTGGTGTGTGTCTCCCTCGCCATCGCAGTGATATTAGAGACTAGACATGCTCATTTTATTTTATGTAGAAAAATTGAAACCATGGCAGTAAATAGTTTGTTACTTTTAAAATGAAGTACAGTGTGCACTGTGCACTTTATTATGCTGGTTGCTACTGTGTGCAATAGTGTAATTATTTTATTTATGCTTAAATATTTATTTTCAGCAGTGAACTTTTTTTTGTTCTACCTCATGTTTTTAATATTTGTTGTTAAATATTGTTTATCTACTTGTTCTTGTTCTACCTCACATGTTTTTACTATTTGTTAAATATTGATTTTTTTTACGTTAAATAAATGTTACTTTTATTAAATTGAGACCTGTAACATTTGTTAACATCATGTCATTTTTATGATGTAAATTGAGGGAGCAAAATGTATCGGCTCCAAATATCGGCTCAAGAAAATCGGCAGCCCGTATCGGTCATCGGCTAAGGCTGATGGGAAAAAAATCGGTATCGGTATCGGCACTAAAAAAATCCATATCGGTCGATCCCTACTTCAAATGTTGACTACTGTATACAAAATAATTAAACACGGTACACACACATACTACGGATTACAGTGGCTCAACCTTAAGTTTATCAGGCGACGAGAATACTTTTGTGCGCAAAAACCCCCCCAAAATAACGACTGTATTCAACTATTCATTTTCTTCTTTGTTGTATGTCAGAACACAGGCTCACTATTGGCCAGCATCACACGCATCACACACATGACCAGCGTCGGCCAATAGTGAGCCTACGTTCTGACGTACAACACAGAAGGAAATTAATAGTTGAATAAAGTTGTTATTTGGGTTTTTTTTGCGCACAAAAAGTATTCTCGTCGCTTGATAAACTTAAGGTTGAGCCGCTGTAGTCACTTGGACCATTTTAACGATGTCTTTAATAACTTTCTGGGCCGAAACGATTAAATTACAATAGAAGCCTATGGAGGAGTGATCCAGCTCTCAGATTTAATCAAAAATATATTAATTTGTGTTCCGAAGATGAACGAAAGTCTTACGGGGTTGAACAACATGAGGGAGAGTCATTACTGACAGAATTTACATTTTCGTGTGAACTATCCCTTTAACATGTGCCCTACCCGTCACACAGGGTTACTCAGAGGTGTGTGTCACTGACCTGACTGAAGTTCATGTAGATGTATTCTCTGGCCTTCTGATGAAGCTCTGTGCAGCCGATCTGCTCGGCGAAGTTGGCGATGCCGATGGCGTTGCTCGGGTCGAGCTGCGTCACGAGGAAATCACAGCAGGCCTTCACCACGCTGTCGATCTGGTACATGACGGCCCCGTTCATCACGTGAATCACACACTTCTCCCCCACAGAGATGCTCGCCGTGTACGCGAACTCGATGAGCCGGCCCATGACCTGAGGACAACAACCAGACACGCTCATGAAGACGCAGCTCAGACACAAGAGCAGCACGTAGGCCTGATTAATCATTATCAGGGTTATTTGACCTAAGCGCAATTATAGTGCAGTTTAAGTTTTATTTAAATCACTTTTTGGACCTATAGTGCGCAGTAAAGCATGTTTCAGTCATATCGAGACTCAGAAATTCTGTTAAACTGGCTGTAAACGCTCCGACAGAAACTGGGATATTTGTTTTATTTCAGTCGCATTCTGTTATACAAATAAGGGAAATTAAGGCATTCAAAGAAATGTCATAAAATGTGCTATATCGGGTCTCCCTTTCCGGTGTGGAGTCATAATCTGGTAGGGAGTATAAAAAAAAAAAAATAAAAAAAAAAAAAATGAATGATTCAATGACAAATATGTTTTTAACAGTCACTTGTCGCCACCTACTGGTGCAACGATGTCATTGATATAATAATAATAATAATGTGAAGTGTCAAGTTACTTTAAAAGGGGATTTGCTCCATTTTAATCACTACCGTAGATATCAGTGTTAATATCTGAACTATTAACTTTTATCCAAGCGTTTCTGTGATAATTTGAATTATTGTAAGACGTGTATGATACTGTGTTGTTGAAGAGGCGCTGTTTCATACATGACAACTGCTCTCTCTGGCTCAGAACGCAGATCTGAATGTTCGCTGTCATCGTACTTGTCAAAGGTTTTATAGACATAGCCAAATCGCTGTAATTTAGGAATAATATCGCGCGTGTGTTTGAATTGAGATTAGGGGTGTCACAATATATCCTGTCACAAGTATCACAAAAAACAAGTTTACAGAGTTTCAGTGTCAGTACTACATTAAACTACTATATATAATGTTGAATATAATGTATAATAATGCAATGGTAGAATATTTGTGTGTCCTGATAATGCCAAATGTCTTGTTACCAGTAAAAAGTGTCCTACATTATTTTAAATATATCTAGTCAGTGACCGAGTAAAGCATATTCGTCTAAAATAATTCTGTTTTCAGCTTCAGAATCATGAATATTGTTATTCTGGTGTCTCTATTGTCCTGCGTTGGGTTTCCAGCACCAAGTCCAAGACTATTCACTTACCAAATTTAGCATTTTAATCAAATTTCTTGTTATCCTTTTACCATATCGTCCCCTTGGAATTATAAGGTTCTATCTGCGTTCTGAGCAGTTTTGAGATATTGAGCTTCAAAGTTTTTGCATTACATATAGGAAAATTTATATGGGCAACAAGTTTCTTTCAAACATGAAAATAACAGGGACCCTAAATGTATTCTAAATATACAATATCAAAATCCTCTCAAATTTGTAAATGGGTTTTTTTGGAATGGGTCAAACGCAGATAGAACCTTCTAATTCTAAAAAAACACTTTTCGCTTAGAATTATAAGGTTCTATCTGCCAAAACATTATTTGAACATTAAATATAAAATTAATGTTGTAACAATGTCTCAACATGTGTTAGAAAGTAAAATTTTATCCTTTCTATGACATTTATTTCATATTTTTTAGCACTTCCATGTATTTAGGACATTTCAAATTAAGCAAGGTAGGTCTAAATATTTTGTCCAGTGCAGAATCTTAATTTTCGTTACCAATTTGGTGGGTAATTAAACACATTATTGCAGAAATTGTTACTTTAATCTTTCTTTTGTTTAGACAGAAAGCAGCTACTGTAATACATCTGAGCAGGACTTTATTCCAGCTAAAGTGGGCCAGGTGAAATGGCTTTCTCTCTAGACATCAGTATGGCTGAAATAACATGCTAACGTTTATTGTTGTAATTAAGACCCCATCAATGAAATTGTTAACTATTTGACCTTTAAGGCTTAAAATTGTAAAAATTAAGACATTTCAAGACTTTAAAAACTACAAGAAAATCGACATGCTTCAGCAAATTAATTCATAAAGTTTAATAATCATTGAAAAATTATTCACTGACTATTATGATCACAAAAAATGTCAGACTAATTTTTTTAATCACACACACACACACACACACTCTCTCTCACTCACACACACACAGTCACACACTTTCTCACACACACACACACACACACACACACACACACACACACACACACACACACACACACACACACACACTTTCACACACTCGCACACACAGTCACACACACACACATTTTCACACACTCGCGCACACACACTTGCATGTTAAATGTTTTTTTTTAATATTCAATTTACCCACTGCATATTTGTATAATTCAGATAATAATAACTATAATAATAATAGTTATTAATAATAACCTCATTGATTACATTGATTATAGTGTATAACAATACACTATAAAGAAAATGGCCAAATTGAAGCCACTTCATAACACTACACAATTTAGTGAATATTTAATTTACTGTAAATGTATAGCATTATGCCTTTATGGGGTTTCTTTTTGTCTTCAAGGAAAAAGCCTGTGACATGACATATAAAGTTGATTCTGATTGGTCCTCTTCTGTGCATTCGAAGTGCTGATTGGCTCACGCAGATAGAACCTTATAGAGCCAAGTTAGAGTTCGATTTTGTAGATAGAACCTTTTTGTTTTTTCAATAAAAAGTCCCACAATGGACACAATTTAAAAAAACACATCACATAATGTAAATAAGTTGTCACAGAATAAGAATATGTGAATAACTCAATTTTGACAAAAATGTCAGATAGAACCTTATAATTCCAAGGGGACGATATGTCTTGGAGTATCGCAATAATATCGTATCGTGAGTTCAGTTTCGTGATATGTATCGAATCGTGAAATGAGGGTCTTGTTACACCCCTAATTTAGATCACAATCTTTTACCGATTAGCCTAATCGTTCGGCTCTATTGTTAATCCCAATTATTTGAATGACAATTAAAGGTGCAGTGTGTAATATTTAGGAGGATCTGTTGACAGAAATGCAATATCATATACATAACTATGTTTTCAGTGGTGTGTAAAGACCTTACATAATGAACTGTGATGTTTTTATTAGCTTAAAATGAGGCGTTTCTCTCTACACACACCGTGGGGCCGCTTACATCCACATGTTTCTACGGTGGCCCTGAGCGGACAAACGCGTTTCATCACTGTGTTGTTCTTCGTGTAAAGAAGCTGCTAAAGTCAGCGAATAAAACACTCACACAATGATGAACAAGTTACAATAATATTCGCAATAATTTCAGAATAATTAAGTAAACATAATTTCTTAATTTATCTTTGTAGAGAAACCTCATTGCTTAACTGGCTACTCTCTGCTGTCTCAGACGACGACATCACTTCCTGTCAGCCACCGTAACTTCTGTTGGGTGCAATTCGCAAACTCACCACTAGATGCTGGTAAAAGTTACACACTGCACCTTTAATGTCAGAACAGAATTCATGATCGTAACATCACAACATCAACCGCGTACACTCGTACCTTTGGGTGGATCCCCTCGATGGGCACCACCTCCATCCCACACTCCTTCAGCCCATTGGTGAACATGGCACGAAACACCGGCGACGACGACGCCAACACCACCTTATGAGCCACGAAGTCCACGGCCTGGAGCTCGTTGTATTTGACCCTCAGCGTGACATCGCACAGCTGGCGCTCCATCCGCAGCTCGTTCATGATGGCGAAGGCGGCCGCCGTGTGGCTCTCCAGCGTGTAGCTAAACACGCGGTGCCCGTTTCGCTCCGACGGCGTGACCTCCGCCTTGCACTCCGTCATCCCGGACGCCGCGTACATCGTCACCGGCCGCGGCCCGGCACTAGCATCCTCGCTCGCCAGCGCAGGTTCAGCGGCGGCAGACGGCAGACGGATGAGTTTTACACGCTCTTACGGGTCGCTCAGGTGAAACGTGCTGTTATACAGGCCTATAATCTCCTGAGGGTTTGGGTCTGTGACACTTCTCCATTTCATACGCAATCTGTTTGATTCGACTGGGGGAATTTGTCAAGCAGGAAAAGCACAAGAAGAATCCAACCGGTTTGTTGCTCACATAATTGTGTCTCTTCCTCAAGCCGGAGGAGACACTTTTATTGCATGTGAAGTGAAACTGTTTTTCTGTGCAGGTTCAAGGTGAAGACAAACGAGTCTGAAACTGAACGCCGGACGTTCCTTGACTGTGAAGGATCTTGCAGTCTTTGTCCTGAGAAAACTGTCACACGCGTGTCATTTCAGGAGTATAATGGCGTTTTCACTGATGACTGGGAGTCCTGAGAAGAAGAAAAAACACAGATTTAAAGCAAACACAAGAAACACAATCACAACTATAGCAGTAAATCAAACTCATCTCAACATATTGAGGAACAAAAGAACAATCTCACTGAGGAGAATGTGTCCTTAAAACTGACATTAATTAGCCTACTGATTTATATTCCGTTAACGTTAAACATAACATTAAAAAGAAGATGAGGACATTACACAACCTGTGCATTTTGACATCCGTCTAATTTGATCCAACCCGCCGCAGTTTTATTGGATGTACAACTTCTCCTGTTTAGAAGTTAACAAATCTATTCATAATATTGCTGTACTACAGACACACAACTACACTATTTAAATGGTTATCAACACAGTTTGTGTCTGCTGTCAGTGACCCATCAGAAGAGACTCACTGATCCAGAAAGAATCACTGAGCGGAAGCGCAAACAATTAAGACTTGGTTTAGTAGGACTGCATTATATAATGAATGTCCTCACAGATAGTTATAGAAATGTGTGTGTGATGGCACTGCATAACAAATCATGAATGGCAAACTTTACCAAACAGCAGTGAATGTTTAAGAAATCAGGACAGATTTAAACAAATGTTTATAGTTACTCAGTGAGTGTTTACTGTGAAAGTGTTTTAATTCACATTTAATAATTTAACACAGATTTAATTTAATAATTATAATATAATCATTTAATATTACAGTTTTATAAAGGTGACCCTAAAATCATATTTTACTGAAAAGCTATCTTACATATTTTTTAGTACAAATA